ACTGTTCCTAAGAGTTGAAAGGTGAAGGTAGATCCAAGTCCACAGAGAGTACACATAGAGCACCTTCGTGTTCAGCCTTGCTGTGCCACAGTGAGACCCTGCTGTGCAGGAAACTAGCCTTGCTGAACTACAGAGAAGCATCCAGATCTATGTTCCTAAAGATACTAAGTTGAGGCTCCTTGTCCAGATCAGCATGAGTCTGAGCATGGTGGAAATCCATGGCCTCTATCACTTGCTTCTTTATCCTTTCCCCTTTTGAGGTCTCATTACATGGCCCATGTTGGCTTTAAGCTCCTTCCTGCCTCATACTTTCAGCTTCTGAAATTTTGCCTTGCACTACTACCATATTGGAAATATTTTTCTGAACTGTTTGGAGATCCCTCCAAAATATTTTCCCCTACTGCTGTGGGAATCCACCCGCTGCTTCTTGAAAATAGATTTAGTTATTTTTGGCACGTGCTTTTTGAACTGTAGATCACTGTGTCTGCTACTGAAATTTCTTGTCTGTGCTGTCCCTTGTTTTGCTAACCCAATATCATCATTCATGCATCTTTCTTTTTATCTTTTGCTTTCTGTTAGCAGCAAACTCCTGTATGTGTAAACTTTGTGTGATTCATCTTTCTTCCTACCCATCACACTGGTTCGTTCTCTCTGTTTCTGCACGGTTTCTCAGATGGCACCTGTAACATGTTTTTCCCATCATCTGTTCATCTTCCTCCTCTCTCCATGCAGTGTTATGAATGCCCTGAAAGACTTTTGGACTTGCTCTCAGGACTGAGCACCCCGTCAGACTCTAAAGAAGAAGGGACGCCGAGACACACTGGCTCCCCTGGTTGTGTGGTCCCTGCAGCCACAGTCATTTAATCTCATTTCCATACCTGTTACCCGTGCCATTTCCTGTGTGGGCTTCTTTATGGGCTTCTCCATGGTGCAGTGGGCTTTCCTGATGAAGACCCCCGAGTCCCTGACTCACCTCATCCTCAGCATTCATTTGTTAGCATATTTGTTCCTTTTACTCATTTGAAGCTATATACTTATTATGGGGCATAGGTTATCCGAAGGAACACAGTAGACCTCCTTTGAGACCGTGTCTCTCATTGGCCTGGAACTCACAATAATTATTGTGCTGTAGGAATCTTATTGTCTCTGCTTCCCCCATGTTGAGATAGATTGTAAGCCCCTGCCATTACACTCACCATTTTTTTTTTCATGGTTTCTGGGATTGAACTGTGGGATTCATGCTTCGAAGGCAAGCACTTTCCGCACAGAACTACCTCCCTAGTCCCTGAAAACACAAAATTTATCCATGGGAGGGACAAGCAGAGTTTTCCTTTTTTTAATTATTCTAGGCGTATAAGTCTGTGTACCACGTGTGTGCCTGGTGCCCATGGATGCCAGGAGAAGGCGTCAGGTCATCTGACTGGAGTTGCAGGTTGTTGTGAGCCGCCTTGTGGCCCTGCTGATACCCAGAGCTGTGCAAGACCTCGTCTTCTCCACACCCTTGCTTGTGCATTGCTTTCTACTTGGTTGTTTTTGCTTAAGGAACTCTGGGGTATTCATTAACTTTTGAGATCTAATTCTTGGATTTGAATTCTCATTCCCAGCTCTGAGAAGGCAATGGGCATTTGATAGGGGTGGCATCCACCTCAATTTGGGAAGCAGGGCATTCTTATGACACTGACTTTTTAAAACCATAAGCATCAGATGCCTTTTTATTTCCATTCCAAATTTATTTTTTTACTTTTCTGTTTTCTGTGTTAGGAATTAAACCCAGCTTATTGTATACCCTAGCAAACAATCTCCTGCTGAGCTGAGGTGCTGGGATCAAACTTAGGGATTTGTGTCCTGCTAGACAACCACTCTATCAGTTGATCTCTCTCCCCAGCCCTGAGTTATTTTTTTTTTAACAGCTATTATAAATAGGATTTCTAGTTAATGTGCTGATTTCTAATTTAGGCAATCTGCTTATTATATAAAACAGAATATTATATGAAACAATATAAAACAGCCATTGTCGAACATGTTTATTCTTTCATTTCAGCTATGCTTGGCTCGGGTATAGCTCTATGATGGAGCCTAGTGGACATGTATGTGATCTCTAGGACTGCCCTCTACAGAGAGAGAGAGAGAGAGAGAGAGAGAGAGAGAACACTAAAAGGGGGCTATGTCTATAAACTTCTTGCCAGATCTAGTACTGTGTAACACAGACACAACCACCCTGCCTGCCCTGTTAACACAAACACAGACGTAAAGTCTACATAACCTACTTTGCACACTCCTGTACACTGTGTCACAGACAGAGAATGCAGCTTAAACACAGAAGAGAGGAGAGGACACCACAAACAATCGGTTAGTGCTTGAGAATGCAGGAGCAGGCTCTGCAGGCTCCAGTTCCTTGCACGCTGTGCTGTGGCCGTCCTGTGTCCTAGGGAAAAGTCCTGGCCAGCTGAAGCGCTGCAGTGGGAACATCTCAGCGAATCACCTTATGCTTTTTGTTCACTGTTTGTTTCTGTTTATTTGCTGTGCTAGGTAAGTGCTCTACCACGAAGGCACAGTCACAGCTCAGTTATCTTTTATCAGTAGTGTTCCATGAGCTCGGCATCTGGATTTGGTGTGTGCTGTTCTGCCTAGGCCTGGTAGCGTAGAACACACTTGTGACTGCAGTGCTAGAGAGACTGAAGCAGGATCCTTGAGTTAAAGGTCAGCTCCGGGTTTGGTTATGTAAGGTGTTGTAAGGAGGCGGCTTGTTTGTTTCTGGCTGCGCAGCCCCGAAATAATCACACAGAAACTGTATTTATTAAATCACTGCTTGGTCCATTAACTCTAGCTTCTTATTAGTTAACTCTTGTGACTTTATTTAACCCATTTCTATTAATCTGTATATCGCCAGGAGGCTGTGGCTTACCAGGTAAAATTCCAGAGTCTATGTCTGGCGGGACTGCAGGGCTTCTCTCTGACTCCGCCTTATTTCTCCCAGGATTCAGTTTAGTTTTCTCCGCCTAGCTCTGCTCTACCCTGTCACAGTCCCCAAACAGCTTCTTTATTAACCAATGGTATTCACAGCATACAGAGGGGAATCCCATATCTGTAATGAGGGAGGTGAAGGGAAAGGAGGAAGGAAGGAAGGTTGGTGATAGGAGATCTTAAAGGGGAAATAAGTTTGTCAGCCCCCTCTGTCACACCCCGTGAGTGGTGTTTAGAGACTTCTGCTCCTGCAATGGCATCCCTGTGCACACCTTTCCTTTGTGCTGTCCTCCAGGCCTTGAGTGTCTCTGCTCCCCTACTCTTTATCTAACTAGGTTACCTCCCCTGTGCTCTATTTCCAAATAATTGTTCCCACATGTACTTATCTTCAGTTCTAGGCAGTGAGCATTGAATCATTCTGTGTCCCGTCAGCTTTGTGGTACAGAGGGCTCCTGCCCCCACAGCATGTTATCTTAAGCTGACACACTCATCAGATCTTTGCTCACGAGCTGACAAATGTATGACATACACAGCACAGATCCTGGATTGTGACAAATTAATGTTGGAGTCTCATTTCAATACAAGCATAGTCATCTCCATATTGACCTTGAGACTCTATGTCACTATGAGCAACTCAAGAATTAAAAGTTTTTTTTTAATTCTATTGCATTCATTTTTTCTAAAAGGGTCTCTGTTTTGTATGTATAAAATTGTCCGATTAATTTTGTGTGTATTCTAACTGCTGCCTGTTGTATTTCAGCTACAGGGGTGAATAGCTTCTACTGACTTTAAAGAAATTAATGAGAAAATTTGTTAGTATGGGGTGGGGAGTTAGAAGTGCCGGTGTTTCTTATCCTCCGTACTATAGCTTAATTTGCTCATTCCAAACAGTGACTTAAACAGGTAGACCTTTGTCCTTGAGGAGCAGCATTTCTCAGCCACACCCTGCTTTGGAAGTCACCATCTTCCTGATAGGCTTTAGAGGAGAATACATAGCAAGTCTGAGGATTGATAGAGGCATCGTAGGCCTCTTGGTCTAACTGCACAACACACAAGGCCATGCCTAATGGTTCCTGAGAGAAACCCTAGAACTGTAGGAGCCTGTCACAGTGTGTGTCCCACTCCACTGACATGTCCTCGCAGTGATCAGATTTGGGGTTCAGAGCTTTCTGCAGTTCTCCGACACGATTGTTTTATTTTACAATTCATCGAATCTGTAGATGTGGATTCCCTAGGTAGGGAGAACTAGCCACACTTTTTATGTTGATCAAAAGAGTTGATTCAGTAGCAATCAAAAGGCCAAGCAACTCTTTGAGAAGTTCTTAGAGTACAGGTGAAATAGTGATTTTTGTTTTGTTTTGTAGAAAGTCACACTATTTTAGAAACATAAGATTTCTTATGTAGATAACCACACTATGTTAGGCTTCTGGGTGCTGTGAGATCCCATCAATTGCTGATATGCAAGTGTGAAAACCTGAGTTGGTATCTCTAGCACTTATGTGAAAAGCTGCATCCAGCACCCCCTTGCTGGAGCTGAGAAGAGCCCTCAAGCTCCCTGGCCTGTCGTAGTTGATTCAATAGGGTGGGTTCAATCCCAGACCCCATCTTAGATTTAAACGAAGAGCAATGAGGAAGATGTCTGGCATTGACATTTATGCGTATACATCTGTGCACATACCTGTGTGCACATGCACACATACAAATTGAAAACCAAAATGTCCATGTGCTATTGTCGTTTCTATGACCTGATAATGTTGGTTTCTTCCAGTGCTTTGGACTTTAATTAATTATACTTGCATTGATTTTCTTTCAAATTCAACTCACTTATTTGCATATGTGTGGAGTTCAGATGACAGGTTATAGGAAATTGGTTTGTTTCACCTTGTGGGTTTTGGTGACTACTCAGGTAGTTGGGCTCTGGAGCAAGTCCCTTTCCACACTGAGTCATTCCCCCGCCCATGATTTCTTAAATGAAAATCTTTTCATAGAGAGGGATGTTTCCATCAGTGATATTTTGGTTTTCTTTTCTCTCGTAGGGAAGCTGAACAGCCAAGACTCTTACAATAACTTCACCAACAATAATCCTGGCAACCCCCGACTATCTCCCTTCCCCAGCCTGATGGTAGTGACCCCTCTAGCACAAATCAAACAGCCAATGACGTTGGGGACCATCACCAAACGTACTGGGTAAGCTTCCACAGCCCTCTTAGAGTGTGGAGTGGATAAAAACGGGACGTGCTTTCTTCATTGTGTGTTTTTGATTATGTCCTTCATTTCCAGCCCACATGAGACTCAGTGGCAGTCAAGTTTGCACACAATCATGCTTACACCCAGTCATGCACACGCATCCATAGTAAGAAGCAAAGCAGTGACAAGTTGTGAAAACTAGGACTGACTAATGAAAACCAGACTTCTCCACTCGCTCACACTTCCTGCCTCGTGGCGTTGTCTGATTGTACAGTTGGATTTTCTTGGCTCTTGCCAACATGATTGGCATTTTAACATAACACAATGCCTACATTTTGACAAATGCAAATATTAGCAAAAGTTTTCTAAATGAGATTGCATTTAAGTAAGTGTATGGAATTTACCCACTTATTTGTGTGGATGCATTACACCATCATGTTTACATTACTAATCTACTGTTACTGTCTGAATAATGAACTATGACTTGGACTTTTTACCAAGATTGATTCCTAACATTTTAGAGATTTCATAACGTTCTTGAATTCTCTTCAGTGCTCATCTTAGACGTTAAAAAGTTCTCTACTTGTTCGGAATATGAACTAATGGATTTTGCGCCTGAAAATGAACTACTACGTGTCTGACATCATTAGATACTCAATTATATGATGATAATGACCATCCATTTTGGACTATTAAATTTGTACTTCTGTAGTCATTTCTCTAGCCAAGTTATTTGTTTTCCTCGATGTATATTCCCAGGATTTAATTGAATTAGAAATGGAACAAACTGTATATTAAAATTCCACATTAAAATAGTCTGGAGAAAGCCTTACCTTTGTCTCAAATAGTCCTGAGGGTCCCCCCCATGGAAAAAAATAGATTAAATTATCTGGCCATGGTGTTGCCACTGCACTAATATAAAAGTATGCAGAGAAGTGACTTCCGTTAGACTCAGGGCTCTACGAAGTTCTGATGATTTTAGCTGTCACATACTAGGGGGACATGTGTGAAGTTGGCCTGCTGACCTCACCCTAGGTGACATGGTGACATGTGTAAGGTTGGCCTACTGACAGAAGTAGGCTGAGGTTTGAATATATTAAAGGGACTAAAAACAAAAGCAAAAATAAAAAAAAAAATCCTGAAAACCTACTTCCCAAATCACAGTTTATTGTGCCATTCTGTGACGTGTCTGTCATTTAATACAGTATTCAGTAGAGGCGCAATTTTAAGTGGTATCCTTTCTTTCTTTCTTTCTTTCTTTCTTTCTTTCTTTCTTTCTTTCTTTCTTTCTTTCTTTTTTTGTTTAAAACATGTTGACCAAAAGACCATGAATTTTTAATGCTGTGTGTCCTTGCTTTATTGTTTTATTGCTAGTTGAGTTTTTCCCCTTTGTAAGTACACTTTGTATTTTCTGAATTCAAAATGGTTCTTAATCTTGAAGCAAAATTTTAAAGTTTGTTTGTTTTTTGAACTCTTTTAAGTTTGCCTGGATGTAATTGCATGTCATTCACTCCAATACTGTATAATTCTATAAAATACTGAAAATTTGTATCTTTCCTGAATCTAAGTGAAAGCAAGTTTAAAATGTCGCTCTGATTCAGATGTCCGTTCAGAGCGCGGGGCATATGAGAAGGTGGCACAGGTGTTCCCGGGCGTGAGGACAGCTGTGAGAGGGGCTTGTTTCTGGGCTGCCTGCTTCTCGATTTGAGCACAGGGCGCACTGTGCCCAGGACAGAGACTTGGCATTCCTCATAGACTTCTTTTGTTTTGTTTTCTGAGAAAGGGTTCTCTGTGTAGCCCTGGCTGTCCTGGAACTCACTCTACAGACCAGGCTGGCACAGAGATCCTCCAGCCTCTGCCTCCCTGAGTGCTTGGATTAAAGTGTGCACCACCACCACCCAGCTCTTATAAACTTCTTAAAACAACTTTGAGATTGGTGTAGATGTGTTAGATACACAAGGATAGGATGTTAGGATTTATTATACTCATTTATGCTTCTAATTGGAATGTATATTTCCTTTTCTCTGTATTTGAAAGCTCACTAATGAAACTTTTGTGCTTTCCCATTGTCTGTTAATACAGTGACAAGTGTGTAAGGTGTTCACATCTGGAGATCTCTGTGGACTTTTGATAAATTTTCTGTTTCCTTGTCTTTTTAAAAATTTGAGGGGCTCGTTAAGAACCGGCTGCTTTTCCAGAGGACATGTGATCAGTTTCTAGTACCCACATTCCCAGATTTGTAAGCCATTTGTAACTCCAGTCCTGGAGTGCCCAGCAACCTCTTCTGACCTCCATGGGCACTTCCCTCACGTGTAACACACGTGTGGGCAAAACACCCACACATATAAAATGAAATAAAAACTTAAAGAGCTGGATGTGGTAGTGCATGCCTTTAAGCAGAGGATCCCTGTGATTTCCTCGTCAACCTGATGTCCATAGTGAGTTCAAGGACAGCCAGGACTGAGAGACCCTGTCTCAAAAAAACAAACAAAGGAAAATAAATAAAAAAGTTACTTAAAATTCTTTGATTTATAGAGTATAAGTGCTATGTCCCGCATTGTGATTGTTTTGTTACCACTGCCGCTAGAGCAGACACAGGGCTCCATGCAAGCAAGCACACTGTCACTCAGCTACGGCTCTGTCCCTGAGCACCCTCTTAGATGTGATTTAATATTTATTGATGAATGCATTGGGAATTTGAAATTTTATGTGCCTTGAAACTCACATTAGTAAATGTCACAGTCACTCTTCTATTGCTGTGAAGTGAAAACCGTGACTAAGGCAACTCTTATAAAAGATAGCATTTAATTAGGGTTTGTTTACAGTTTGATTTGAGAGTTTGTTCTTGATCAGTCATGGTCAGGAGGGTGGCCACAAACAGGCCTGTAGCTAAAGGTTTATCTCCCACCTGCTAGTCTCTGAATAACCATTCAGAGGCTAATATTAATTACAACCTGTTTTTAATAAGCTCAGGCTTATTATTAACTAGCTCTTACAATTCAAGTTAACCCATTTCTATTATTCTGTATTTTACTACGAGGCTTGTGACCTCACTCTTGCTTCTCCGTCAGCTGCTGGTATCTCCCTACCTCTGCCTTCTTTCACCCTGTGTCTGTTTGGATTTCCTGCCTAGCTGTATTCTGCCCTGCCATAGGCCAAAGCAGTTGCTTTATTAACCAAGGGTAATTAAACATATTCACAGCATATCGAAGGGCATCCCACATTACAGGCCAACATGGTGCTGGAGAAGTAGCTAAGAGCTTTACATCCTGATACGCAAGGAAAGAGCCTCTAAGTCCACCTCCAGTGAAAAACCTGCTCCAACAATGACACACCTTATAATCCTTTCAAAGCAGCTCGTGCAAACACATGAGGGAGGGGATTGTAATTTAGACATCCAGTACTTCATCAATTTTCAGGTCCCTTCATATGTTTTATGTTTTTTTTAAATTTATTTATTTATTATGTATATAGTGTTCTGTCTGCATGTGTGCCTGCACACCATAAGAAGGCACCAGATCTCATTATAGATGGCTGCGAGCCACCATATCATTGCTGGGAATTGAACTCAGATCCCCTGGAAGAGCACCCTGTACGCTTAATCTCTGAACCATCTTTCCAGCCCCTATATATTTTATGTTTTTTTGACTATTAACCAGTATTTTTATTCATTTTAATAGTTTGTAATAGTATTTTTTTCCCTCCTACTCCCCCACACACCCTCCCCAACCCCTCTATTTTATGGTTTTAAAGTCCTTTAAGAATGTGCTGTTTCCAGGTGTTGTGACAAAATAATTCGTTTCTTTTTGGTTCTAATAATTTTGACATAGTTTGAATATCAGCAAAGTAGTGGAGTCTGGTGACAATTCTTCAATTCTTCCATACCCAAGCCTCCCAAATGTTAAAATGCTAACTTTGTCATTGCCATTCTTTCACGCGTCAAGACATGACACTTTTCTAATTGTTTCAGAATAAATTTCATGACCCCTTCCTCCTTTGTCTTCCTTCTTTACCCTAGAGGGAACAGTCAAAAGAAGACTTTTATTTATTGTTTTCAATAAGTACAAATATTTGTTTTCTGTATAGAGTTTTCTGCTTCAGTGTAGAGCTCTGGGGTAATACAGGTTGTCCTTTAATTTCCTGGTAGTGATGCCTGGCATAGTGACTGATAAACATTTGATTGTAGTTTATATCTGACCATTTCTGTATTGCAAGTTTGTTCAATTGTTTTTTTCTTCTTTTTTTCTATTTTAAAAATGTTGTTTATTTAATTTGATAGTTTCTTGTTAATTGTTCCAGGCTGGCCTGAGTTTTGGAAACTGTGATTCAGTAATGAGTTCTGAGCTTACAAATTTCCATCATCTTCACAACTACTCCTTAACAAAAATTATGTGAAGCTGGGTAGTAGTGGCTCATGCCTTTCATTGCAACACTCAAGGGAAGGCAGTGGCAGGTGGATCTAGCTCGAGGCCAGCTTGGTCTACAGAGAGAGCTCCAGGACAGCCAGGGTCACACAGAGAAACCCTGCCTACATGAGAAAGCAAACAAACCTACAAATCATTATTTGTATCTGCGTTTGGATACGTGTGCGTTTGTGTGGGTTGTGGGTGCTAGGGAAAGGTGCTCTAGACCGGTGCTGGGTACCGACCTAGTCGTGGCATGCTCTCTTACCCGCGGAGCCATCTCTCCAGCCTCCACCGCTACCTTACCTGTTTGTTTGTTTAGACAGGGTTTCTCTGTGTTACAGACCTGGCTGTGCTGGAACTTGCTCCGTAGAACAAGATGGCCTGGTACTCACAGAGATCCGCCTGCCTCTGCCTCTGTAGTCCTGGGATTAAAGACATGTGCCACCACTGCCTGATCATCATAACTGCTCTTAATCCCACTCTCTGACATGTTTATCGACTGTACTCAGCCATTGCAATTGTCATTTTTCTTTTCTTTCATTGCAATCCAGCTAAGGATTTGTTTTAGTTTTCTGAATGTGATTTTTAAATTTT